AAGACTCGAAGGCCAATCAATCCAGGACATGCTAGGGGCCAATGAGGAGACTGCCCTGGATGAAGCAGAGGGAGTGACAAGGCAGCAGAACCAGATTGGAGGGGGAGGGGGGAAGAATCCTCAGTGCCAGGCCAGGGATTTGGGACTTGAGCCTATCTTCATGGGGAGCCATGGAAGGTTGAGTAGAGGCATCACACAATCAAAGTGGTCATCCACCGGGGGAGAATTGAAGCTCATATGGTAGGGCCTGTATGCTCAAGCCACTATTGCTGACATGAGGAACTTGCTACTGCCCATTCCACTTTGGGATGACTCTGTATCTTAGTCCCATGAGCCAAGAGAGAAGGAAACTCAACTCCAAGGTCTCTGTATGAAAGCCTGCTTGGCTCTGGGGCAGGACCCCTCCTCCTCACACCCCAGGTTTGAACCTGGAGCCCAGCAGCTGCTGGCAGGATGAGTTTAGGGAGAGCTGAGGGGGGGGGGAGTAGGGAGCAGAGAGCCTTCTCTTCTCTCCTACAGACCCCCAAAGCCCTCCCCCAACTCAGGAACACTCCATGCTCTGCCTTCCTGGACTCTTGCCAGATCCTCCCACAAGGCAGGAATTGAGGGGGAAGTGTTCTCCTCTAGCCTAGAGGATATTTGTCCACAGGAGGATTTCACAGATCTAGAATCCTGTCCAGCTCCTTCCACTGTGACTTGGGACAAATCACTTAGCCTCTGGCCTTCACCCTCCTCCTTTGAAAAAGAAGGGGGTTGGCCTCTAAGCTGCTCTAAAGCTCTCAAAGATCATCTAGTCCAACACTTCAGAGGAGGAAACTGAGGCCTGGAAAGGGAAAGCGACTTTGCCCAGGGTGACACAACTAGGAAATGGCAAAGGCAGGATTCAAACCCATGGCCTGTGACTCCTGACTCATGAACTCTCCACTACACCCTACCCCACTTCTTCTCCCAGGCTCAGAGTCCCAAGGATGACTCAAACACAAACTGAAAACTGAAGTCTTGGCCCCCCAGCCCATACCCATGGGCCCCAGAGGCCTATGGGTGGTTGTCATTCCTCTGGCAGGCCGTAGGCTGACTCCCTGCCCCAAGGCACTCCTCCCCCTGCCCCGGCCCCCCCCGCCACTATTTTCCAGGCCACCTGGAGACATCACGGCTGGCTTCGTCAGCTCCACTGGTCAGCGCCTGCGACTGGGGAGAGTGCGCAGGCGGAGGTTCTCCATCCCTCCTCCACCACCCTTGTAATCTCCCTGTGGCCCACCACGCAGCTGGGGGCGGGCCGGGGGGGAGGTTGGGGAGGCGGACATCGCTGGAAACACAGTGTCTACTTTCGGGCGGCGGCGCGGGGGCGGCCCCCCCCCCCCCCGAGCTGGGCGCAGCTGTTTCGGATGGCTGCACTTGGTGCCTGACCACTTAATCCTATTAGCTGTTCTTTCAGGACTGTGTGCACCTTGTTACTAAGCCTGGACCTTCGGACAGCGCTCTCCGGCCCCCAGCCCGCCCCCGCCCTAGTCCGCCTGCTCTCCCCCACTCCTTCCTTCCCTTGCCTCGGTCCCTCTCCCTCCTCCTTCCACTCTCTCTTCCTCCCCCTCTCCATTTTCTCTTTTTCTCTCTCCATCCCCTTCCATTCTCTTTTTCCATCTTTCCCCTCCCATTTTTTTCCTTCTCTTTCCCTCCCCCTCCTTCTCCATCTCTCTCTTCCTTTCCCTCTCCATTTTCTCTTTCTCCCTCCATCCCCTTCGATTCTCTCTTTTTTCCCTCCTTCGATTCTCTCTTTTTTCCCTCCTTCCCTTCCCATTCTTTTTTCCCCTCTCTCCCTCCTCCTCCCTTTCCATCTCTATTTTCCTCCCTGTCTCCTTCCGTCCTTCGTTCTCTGTTTCTCCCTCCCCCTCCCGGTCTGCCTCCCTTATCCTTGGCTTTTCTCCATTATTCCCTCCGTGAGCCCGAGCACCGGGCCCCCACTTACGACAGGAATGCTTTTGAATACATTGATTCCTGAAACCCTGTAATTAATTTGGAGTGGTCCTTTGGCGGCAGCCTGGTGGGGAGATGGAGGAGGGAGTCTTATCTCTCCCCTCCTGGATCCCTGAGATCTTTTCAGAGTGTCTCCCTAAAAAGTTCAAAGGCACTGGCTTTGGCCTGGGGGGGAGGGAGAGAGAGAGAGAGAGAGAGAGAGAGAGAGAGAGAGAGAGAGAGAGAGAGAGAGAGAGAGAGAGAGAGAGAGAGAGAGAAAGTGTGGTCACTGGAGTGAAAAGACTTTTGGGGCCTCTCCCCAGGCCAGGGGCCTGAGGCAGGGCTGCTAGGACATAGTGTTTCCCGGAGCCTTAATCAGCCCTAAGGAGTGAGAGAAAGGGGTACCTATGGAATGCAGACATTGGGTTAGCTCCAGCCAGGTTCCCCCTTTTTCCCTGACAACCCTCAGAGGACCTTGTTCCTGGGTCTAATGGGCCTGTGAAGAAGGGTCTCTTCTGAAGTACTTGGATGAAAGGGCTGGAGAGTGCATGTGTGTATATATTTATAGCTCATCCTCAAGACCTGAGGGGGAGGGGAGAGGGGAGAGGGAGAACTCCATAGGGCGGAACATTCATTCTCTAGGAATGAGGCCCTCTCTCAGGAATCGGTTGATGGGGGAGGGGGGGCTGGAAGTAACCAAGGATCATGTGATTTTGAACAAGAAGGAACCTTAAAGATCAGAATCTAGACTGCTCCTTTCATCTGACACTAAATGAAATAGAGGAACTGAGGCACAGAGAAGGGAAACCATTTATTTGCTCTGGATCACAGTTATCAAGTAGCAGAGTTGGGATTCAAATCTGGCCTCTGACTCTAAATCCAATGACCTTTGCACTCTAACAGGCAGAAGAATTTTTTTAAAGGTGCTTTTCTACCCAGTCAAACTTCCCATTGAAAATACATGTGTCATTTCAGAGCTGTCAAGAAAATCTTTGGAAATATGGATCCTTCAAAGGCTCCCCATCATTTATTAAAGTATCATTTCTTATTCTTGGCAGTCAAGACCCTTCACTATCTGGTTCTGCTCTCCCTAGCTCTTACTGCTCCCTTTCATGTATTAAGGTTCCAGCTAAGTTGGGACTCTTCTCCATCTCCCATCCTGGTTGTCATTTTACTCACATAGGTCCCCAGTGGAACTCATCCTACCACCTGTCCACGCCTGTTGAAGTTCTTCCTTCAAAACCCAACTCAGATGTCACCTCTTCCAAGAAGCCCTCTTTGACCCTCCCTCTCTAGCTAAAAGGGATCTTTCCCTCAGCTTTCTCATACCTATGGACACCCACCTCCATACTTCTGAGAGGAAGTATTGTAAAGTGAGGACTTGGGAGTCAGTAGGGTTGGAAAAGATGATCAATAAGGCTCCTTCCAGCTATAATACTCCAGGATTCTGGGGTTTCATGCTCCCTTGTCTCACTGTCCTTTGTGTCTGAGTTATTTGTGCCTTTCATACACTCAGCAAGCATGAACACCTACTATGTGCCAGCAACTGTGCTAGGTGCTCAGAACACCAAGTCCAGGCTCCTTTCCTCAAGGAGCTTACATTGGATTAGTGGTGAAAAATATACACAGAAAAATACGACATAGAAAAAGTAGGCACAAAGCAATCTTTGGGGTTGAGAGTGCTAGCAACCACAGACTCCACAGTAGGGTGTCTTAGTCATAAATCTGCTCTCCTCTGAATTTGGAGTGAATTGTGGGAAACAATGAAAAAACACAGATCAGGGGACTGTTTTTCCCAGCGTCATGGATGAGGTTACTCTGATAATCATTGCACTGTAGATAGAGACTGGAAAGGTCCATAGAGATCATTTAGTGCAACTCTCCAATTTTTATAGACAAGGAAATTAAGACCCTAAGAGAGGAAATGACTTACCTAAGACCACATGTTGAGAAAATATCAAAGACAAAACACAAATACAGTGAACTTTACATTAAACCAGTCTGCCCATTCTTTCTCCCACCTGGTCTCTCCAGTGGCCTACCATACATACTTACTGGCAAGATAGCCAGGCTAGGGCTAAGTGTACAAGGGGTAGCCAGGGAGCAGAGCCAAAGAAATTGGCCCTCATGGGCCTCCAGCTTAAGGCTGGCCTCATTCTCACCGACAGCATTCGCTAACCATTGGGTAATTTAGCCTGAGCATGATCCTGGGAAGGCCACCAGGAGGAGCAGAGTTTTGAGGGACCAGGAAGTAATCCCACTATTTCATTGTGTTTTGGTCATGGCTTAACCCAGCTCCTGCACCGGGCCTCATAATTTAGAGGAGATCGATCCTGATCTGTTACCTGACACTACGTAGTGTTTCTTGCTGCTGCTACTGCTGCTGCTGCAAACTTGGAACACATTCAGAGGAAAGTGGGAAGATAATTATAGGGCTGGCAATTAACCAAGGAGGAAAAGTTAAAGGAGCTAAGATTATGTAGCCTGGAGAAGAGAGAACTGGTAACGGTCTGAGGATTCCAAGCCCGAGGGAACCAGCCCTCTCATTTTTATAGTTATTTAATCTTTTCTGGCCTCAGTTTCTTCATTGACAAAATGAGGAGACTGAAAATGTAGATGATTTCTCAGGTTCCTTCCAGTTCCAAATCCCATGACCGCATGACTTTCCCACAGTCTTGAAACCGATCAAGTGCTGGAACAAGAGTTGAGCCGCTAGGTCTTCACATCCAAGGTCTTCATCATCCTTCCCAATGCACCACTTCTCTCTCCCCTGAAGGATTGATGGGAAAGGTCTTGGATGGAATACCCTGGTGGTTTGGGTTCCCAGTCCCTGGCAGCTGGAGCACCAGGACTCCACCCCCAACCCTGCCTCTAAGTCACCATGTGGCCTTGGGTAGGCCTCTCTGGGCTTTTGTCTCCTCGCCGTAGGGAGGCTGGGGGGAAGGGCAGGGAGGCCTGGGTGATATGGAAGACATTCTCAGAATTGTAGGTGATCAGCAGGCATTCAGCCAATCCAAGGGGTCCTCATTGTCCTTGGTGTCTCTGTGCAGCATGGGTTGGAGCCCTGGCAATGGGAATGATCTTCTTGTGTTCCCCCATCGTGAGCATCTTCACTGATCGGATGGGCTGCAGAATCCCAGCGACGGCCGGGGCAGCTGTCGCCTTCATCGGCCTCCTCACCAGTTCCTTCACCAAGTAAGACCATGGTTACCCAAGCCCAGTCCCCGTCGCTTCTCTCCCTGGTCAGTACCAGGAATCAGGATGGCTTTGGCTGAAGTTGGGGTGCCCGTCTTCCCTGGCCTTGTTTCTCCCATGAACCCTGACCTTTACATAGCTCTCAAATAATCCATTTCTCTGGTGCTTAATTTAAGGCTTATTAAAAAACTGGTCCTGTGAGGCAGCTAGTGCATGCATTATTATTCCCATTTTACAGATTAGAAAACTGAGGCTCAGACAGGTTAACTCTAACCTCTAGTACTCTTTGTACCATCCGACACCATGATAACACTCAAAACCCATACCGAGGGCTAAGAAGAGAGAAAGAAAAGGAGGTTTCCTTTTCTGATGGAGAGAATAGGACACATGGGACGAAAGGCTGACAGCCATTCTCATGTCCAGCACAAGGTGGCACCTCCCCTTTTCTGCCATCATGGGCATTACCTGGAGTGCCCAAGCAGTCAGTTGGTGGGAGGCAGGGGACAGGAAGCAGATTCACAGGATCATTGGGGTTTAGGGCCAGAAAGAGACCTTTCTCTAACCTTCTTTATGTAATGGACCCTTTGGGTAGCTTACTGATGTCTATGGACTCCCTTCTCAGAGGGGGTTTTAAATGCATAAAATAAACTACCTTGGGTTACAAAGGAAATCGATTACATTGGAATGCAGTTATTTACATTTCTAGATTAAGGACTCCCTATTCTAGTCGAAATCCCTTATTTTGCCCAAGAGAAAACTGAGGGCCTGCTCTGGCTAAGGTGACTTGTCCAGCCAGGCCACAGGAAGGCTGTAATTTCAACTTCAGAGCCAGGATTCTCTCCACTGGGCCACACTGCCTCCTCTAGGATGTCATTCCAGGTCATCAGAAAGCTCTTCTGAGATAGGGAGCCAGGAGACCATTCCTAGAGGAAACAGAGGCTCACCACGGAGTGTCCCAGGATCACACAGACAGCAAGTAACAGAGCCCCCATTGGAACCCAGTTTCTCTGCCTCCGATCCAGTTCTCAAGGGCAGGTCAGCCCTGGGAAGAGGTGAATTTACCTCAAGGCCCTTGTTTTCCTGGCTCCCCCCTCAGGTATCTTGAATTGCCGCCTACAGCCTGGATGATGTGAGTACAGGTAGAGCCAGATGTTTTCAGCAGGAGAGAGGAAGGGATGGGAATATTTAGCAGTATGCCCTGCTGGGATCAGGCCATAGAACCCATCTGCCCGACTCCTACTGAAGCACCAAATCCATGCTGAACAAGAGGCCTCTCTACCACACACCAGACAAGGAGGGAGGCCTTTCCACTGTTCAATAGCTCTCATTGGCTGGAAGTTTTTCCTTAGAACCAGCCTCTGGGACCTCTACCCACTGCTCTTCATTGGGCCCCCTGGGACCAAATAAACTGATGAAATCTAATTTCTTCTTTTTTATGGCAACCCTTCACCATCCTGGTTTGTCCTTCTCCTGTAGGAGCAATGACCCACCCCCACCCGAGGAGTCTGGATCAGTCCCCCATTAGATAGAGGTGCCTCCTGACTCACAAAGCCCTCCCTCTCCAGCGGGTATGAATGAGAAAGAAGTGAAGTCAACAGGTCTTTCCTCCAGTTGGGGAAAGTGGGGTTGTGGGGGGATTCTTTGTGTGGCCCATCACCCTCCATTGATCTGGGCAGATGTGAGAGTCATCCTGCCTGGAGATGGAGGGAATGGTGGCAGTGATACAAGAGAAAGGTGGGCAGAGCTGACTACCCAAAGACCATTGGAAGAGGTCATAGGGTAATAGGTATCATAGCCAGAAGGGATCAAGGAGATCACATAATCCAAACCCCTAAGTTTTCAGAGGAGAAAATTGAGGCCCAGATTGGGGAGGGGACTTGTCTAAGGTCACACAGGTAGGAAGCAACAGGCAAGATTTGAACTCAGCTGTCTAGACTCCAAATCCAGTGTTTTTGCCACTCTACCATACTGTCTTTCATCTCTCCATCCCAACCAATCTTTTTCCAGAATGGCACTTGGCATTGTTACTTGTAGCCTCAAGAATAGTCATTGCTTCTTTAAAAAAAAAAACATTTATTTTATGGTCCTGGGTCCTCTAAGGGTGAGCCAACTTTCTTTATGAGTCTAACATTTCCGGCCACCCACCCGAGCTCCCACCCGACATGCCAGCAAAACGAGGACTCAGCCAGCAAAAAGGGTTTGGCACCATCTCGTCAGATTGGGACAGAAAAAAGGGAAAAACCCCTGTGGTGCCTGCCCTGGGCATGGGGCAGCAGGACCTTTACAGCATCCGGCCTCCTATGCCCCTCGTGGAATGCCATGCCCGGGGCATCGGCAGGATGGAGGAGGGGCCTCAGCACTGAGCTGTTTTGTAAGACTAAGCCAAGTGTAAACAAATTAGGCACATAAGGATCCCATTTCCCTTCCCGTCCACATGGGCCCAATAATGGAGGTGGGGCACAGTGGCAGGCACTGTTTGCTGCCCCCAGCGAGAACCTGAAATTGGAGGTGTCTTGCCACTAAGCCCCTGTGACTTGGCTTTTCCTGTGAACATATGCATCATCAGAGCCAGAAATCATGGGGTGCCAGAGCTGCTTGGGTCCTCAGAGGCCACATAAGACAACTCCCTCGCTTTACGGGCATTCAATAGCAGAGTGGGATTTGAACCCTGGTCCTCTGCGTCCAAATCCAGTGTTCTTTCCATTACACCAATGGCCGGGTTATTTGGCTTCATTTCCCGTGGAAAAGTGGTTTCAGCTGCTGGCAGGAGGCCAAAGCCCATCCTTCCTGCTGTATCACTCAGGATTTTGGGTCATTTCAGATGGCAAGGAAGTGGGATGGATGGTGGAGGGGGGTGTGAACAGTTCTCTGAGCCAGGGGCAGGTCTGGATGAACTTGGGGGCTCTTCTCATCCAGGCTGGCCAACCACTAAGTCTTCCAAATGGTGACCAGAAAGGCATCTTGTCTGTCAGTACTGGGGATGCTGGGGGGTGTATTCTGGATACCCTCCCTCCCCCCATGGTCACTGCCCAGGGGCCCCAAGCTTTTCCTTGGTGGACTCACAGAGCAAACTGAGCCCCAGAATTCTGGGCTTTGAACTTGATAACTTGGCAAACAGCCAAGTGGCATGCCCACCCTGGCAGTATCCACAGGGCCCAGTGGTATTTGGCTTTATCTCATTCTCATGCTTTGCCTGCATCAACAGTCTTGTCCTGGGAATGCTCGGAGATGGAGTGCCATGGTGATGGTTGCCATGGAAACACTCGTAGCTAGTTCCTCTTCCCTCTTGCAGCACTGGCCCTAAGGTCCTTTCTACTTCAATGCTTGGGGGTGGAGGCTAAATTTCCAACAGTGGACACATGAGAAGTGTTGCTCAATCTTCCCTAGATGGCCTAAAAAATCTGGACAAGTTCTCATGTGTCCAGGCTAGGCCTATCTAGAAGCAAAGGGATGACCAGGCTGTAGTGGGAAAGACACTGGCTTTGGGAATTGAAGAGGGCTTTGAGTTATGTTGGCTTAAGCTTCCCCCAAGTCACTAGGAAGGGAATGGCTTCTGCTAACCAGATCCCAGATGGCCTGGACATAGGAGGCCTCGAGTTGGCCTGATGCTCACCACTGACCCCAGCTCTGTGATAGACAGCACGCTGTAGTGGCTAGAGCGCTAGACTTGGAGTAAGGAAGACCTACCTGGATTCAAATCCCACCTGAAACATCAGCTGCAGGATTTGGGGCCAGTCATTTAAACCTCACTGGGCCTCAGTTTCCTCACCTGGAAAATGGGGCTGAACTCACTGACCTCTTCTGCCTCTACATCTATGATCCCTGTTCCTCAGTTCTTGGCAGTTAGAAGATGTGTCACCCATTCTGCCCCCAATAATGACTATCTTTCCAGCTACCCTCAGGACTATCCCTTAGCCCTTCCCCAGGGTGATACTTTTCCAAGCTTGTGGAACTATGACCTTGCCTGCTCAACGTGTGATCTCATTTTTAAGGAGGCCACATAGCTGGGGAGTAGCAGAGTTGAGATTCCAATCAAAGTCTTTGGCCTTGAAACTGAAGGCTGTCCCCCACTACCATCTAGCCCTCCTTGCCTCTCTGTGTTAAGCATGAGGGTGGGAGCAGAGTGGGGGGTAGCTAGCTAGTGGCCCCTTGGATTCTGGGTGGGGAGAAAGAGGAAAAGGGGGGGAGGAAGGGACAGAGGGCAGAAAGGGAGGAGTGAAGGAAGCCAGCCTATTGCCCCAGAGCTGGAGAAGGCTGAGATGCCTATGGTGGCCCATCTCTTTCCTCCCCAGCTCCCTGGAGGCCCGCTTCTTCACCTACGGCATCCTGTTTGGCTGTGGGAGTTCCTTTGCTTTCCAGCCTTCTCTGGTCATCCTGGGCCACTACTTCCAGCGGCGCCTGGGCCTGGCCAACGGGGTGGTAGCCGCCGCCAGCAGCCTCTTCTCCATGTCCTTCCCTTTCCTGATGAAGATGCTGGGGGAAAAGATCAAGCTGGCGCACACCTTCCAGGTGCTCAGCATCTTCATGCTAATCCTCATGTTCCTCTCACTGACCTACCGGCCCCTCTTGCCTACAACTCCCAACTCCCGGGCCAAGCTGGGCCGGAGCGTCTGGCAGCAGTGCGTGGGTCACTTGAGTAACTACTGCAACATGAGGGTCTTCTACTACAGGACCTATCGCATCTGGGCATTTGGCATCGCCACCGCAGCTCTGGGCTATTTCATCCCCTACGTGCATTTGGTGAGCCGTCCCCCTCCACATCATCCAGCACACAGGCTGGCGGAGCAAGGGCGCTGTCCCAGGCTGGGACAAAGGGAAGGAGTCAGGGGTGGGGGGGACACAGATGGAGATTTAGGGAAGGACGTGATCGTGCTGGCTGCTGGGATTCAGAAGGCTAGCAAGGAGAAGGGGGAGACCTGTCCTACTGGGCCAGGGAGGGCAGAGCTAGAGGCACCAGGTACTGTACGATCAGCTGCCTTTGGAAGTTGTGAGGTCCTTTACTTCACGAGCCATCTGCAGGGGGAGGCTAGATGCATTCAAGGGCACTTCTGCTCAGGTACAAGTTGACCCAGATGGCATCTGAGATCGCTACCAGTTCTGAGGATTCATAGAGAGAAACGAGCCAGGGCTGAGACCGGAGGGTCCCAAGGGAGAAGAGTGGAGGAGACTGGAAGGAATGCCCATCTTAGAGTATCCCCACCTTCAGCACTGCTCCTGGCTCCCTTCTCCTGTTCGTGCCTTGAAACGAGCCCAAGGGCCAACTCCTCCAAAAAACCAGAGGTGGGGGGTGGGGTGGAAGGGGGAGGCTGACAGAATGGACTCCCACTTCAGAAGCTTTCCTGTAATAATGGCATTTCCCCTAAAGAATCCATGAGCCTGGGGAACTTGGTGCCAGGCTGTAAGTATGCCAGGAATGAGGATGCTCTCCCTGGAAAGCTAGGTGGGAGACATGCCAGTCAGTTCACTATGGCTTCATCTGGTTTCTTTCTTCCTCTCGGGGCTGGGGGCTGGGGTTTACATTTCAGATGAAGTACGTGGACAAGCAGTTCACCGGGGAGAAGAAGATCGAGGATACCTGGGTCCTCTTGGTGTGTATCGGGGCCACCTCAGGCATTGGACGCTTGGTGTCTGGCCGGATCAGTGACTCCATTCCTGGCCTAAAGAAGATCTACCTACAGGTGCCCAGTTGACCTTGCCCAGCAAGGAGGAATTGGGGCAGGCTGGGAGGAGCAAGGGTGGGGAGGGGAGAAGAGTCCACTATGAGAACCTCTCCACTCTGTGGGCGCTCAATGGAGATTCCCACACACTCCAAGGAGAGGCAGTGTTGCTAAGCAGTTAGAGCTCCCCCCTCAGCCAAACAACTGCAGCTGCTGATTCATTGTGGAATCTTGGGCAAGAGGCCTCGGGTGTCCCAGCTATACAGTGGAGACAATGATTGCTATCTCTCCTTACCTCCCAGGGAGAGTGTAAAAATGAAATAAGCCTCTTTGAGCTCTTCCAAAGAAAGTTATTGTTAATAATTACTATTATCAGCCTTCCCATCTAGGAGGCTAAAGGCACAAGTATCAGAGTTGCCTTGACTCCTCAGTGATCATAGAACCTAGGTTGGAGGCAGGAGAACCTAAGCTCAAATCCCAGCTCAGACACTTTCTACCCATGTGACTGCGGGGCAAGTCACGTTCCCCCAAAGAGCTTCAGTTTCTTCATTTGTAAAATGGAAGCAAAATCCCTGTAGTACTTACCTAAGAGGATTTGGCAGAGGTTCAAATAATAAAATGTATGTGAAACTTTGTAAACCTCAAAGTGTTAGATAAATGTCAAACAAAATTGTTATTATTAGAACTGAAAATTTCAGAGCTGGGGTGGGGATGCTCCTTAGAAGATGGAATGTCAGAGGTGAGAGGAACCCTTGAACAAAGAATTTAAGAACTGGAAAGGATTTTAGTATTGGGAAGGTCAGGCTGAACAGGGAATGTCAGAGCTGGGTGGGGCCTTAGAATGTGGAAAGTCAGGGCTAGGAGGACTGTTGGACATGGAATGTCAGAGCTTGAACCTTAGAATGTCAGAGAGGAGCCTTAAAACATGGAGTATCTGGGGCAGCCAGGTGGTACAATGGATAGAGCACACCAGCCCTGAATTCAGGAGGACCTGAGTTCAAATGCAGCCTCAGACACACAACACTTACTAGCTGTGTGACCCTGGGCAAGTCATTTAACCCCATGGCCTAGCCAAGAAAACAAAACCAAAACAAACAAACAAACAAACAAATACCATGGAGTATCAGCGCTAAGAGGGGCCTCAGAAGAGAGAACATTGAATGTCAGTGCCTGTCGGGCCAGACTCAGGCGTCTAGCCAATTCCCAATCATTCCTTTCCATCAATCACCTGTGTTTTCCCATTGGCCCTCAGTCCTGAGTTCTTGATTATGCACTGATGTCCTTCCCATCCCCAGAGTTTGGCTCTCTGAGTGTAGATTCCAGAGGCCCAGGCCTCCAGCCCTCTCTCCTGGTAACTTGCTTGGTCAGAGCAGTCTGGCATCAGTGTCCCTGGGAGCTATTTGCTCTGAACCCAAATCAGAGTTGTTGAGGAGTCTCCAGAAAAAGATTTGGTTCCCCAGTCTCCCGGGGAGACCTGAGATAGCCTCGGGCTGGAGGGATGGAGAGGGATGGATGGGGAAGCCAGCCACTTACCTGAGGAGGCAGTAGCCCCTCCTTGCAGCTTGCCACCTGCTCCCCAGAGCCATCCCTTCCTACCAGACTCCCAAGACTTGCCTAACACCACCCCCTAGAAGATAACATGCTGGAATAGAAAGAGCCCTTGCATTCTGAGGCAACAGGCCTCACACTGAAATTCACTCTGCTTCTATTTCTCTGTGTGACCCTGGGTGTATGGGCTGTTCTGAGAAACAACCAAGAGAGTAGATATAAAATATTACATAAATGGAAGCTTGCCTGGACTTACCTTGGAGAAATAGTCCCTCAGAACAAGAGAGCTCCCTGTGAGGTCACATCTATCACAGAATACAATGGAATCCAACTGACATCCCCCCAGAGGATGGCAAGACAATGATCACTGTCAGCAGCATCATCATTATTATTATACTATTAACTCCTCCCCCCATTGTGCTAGAAAGGAAATCAAATTACAAAGAGGAAAGTGCCTTGCCCAATATATTAATAAATAACTCATTTTGACAAAACTTTAAAGTACTTCTATCACATGACCCCATGTGCCAGTTCAAGTATTACTGTCTCCATTTTATTATGAGTATTAATTATGCTATTGACAGAATTGCTAGAATTAGATGATACAATTATAATATAATATTATTATATTGTAATAATAATATTAGAGAGGCAGTGTATTGTAGAGGCTAATGGTTCTTCCCTCCTTGGAGCCAGGAAGCCAAGCTCCAGCCATGCCCCTGGCTGATCCCAGCCCTAGGCTCCTGGCACATCAGAGATCACAGATCACTTAGCCTCTCCTTCACAGGCATTCAAAAGGGATTCTTCACCTTTTTTGGGTCCTGGACCCCTTGGCAGTCTGGCGAGGCCTATGGACCCCTTCTCCGAATGATGTTTTTAAATGGGTAAAATAAAATATATAAGGTTATAAAAGAAACCAAATAGAGTAAAATAGTTATTCTTTTTTTTTTAAGTTCACAGACCTCAAATTAAGAACCTTTGAGTCTAAGGCTATCATTCGAAAAATAGTTGAAAAACTGCATTGATAGAGGGACTCTTCATACCAGAAGTTCCTTCCAACTGATGAACTCATAGGTACAGCCCCGCCCCCTCCAAATAAAACAAAACAACCAAACAATTCCTGTGGTGCCTCCACATTTGCAAATGCTTGCCTCACAGCAATCATGGGAGATAGGGTATTCAAGGAGCAAGATTCTCATTTTACATATAAGGAAAATGAGGCCCAGAGAAGAACAGTTATTTGCCAGTGGTCACACAGCCAGTGGGTGCCAGAGTCACAGTCTCCGCATCTGGTGGACTTCCCATAAGATCAGACTGACCTGATATGCCCGTCCCAGCTGCCAGCACCTGCTTGATCCTAGCCCCAAGTGACGCCTAAGGGAGGCTTCCGTCCTGTGCAGCAGGTGGGGGATGGGAAGTGCTCAGCTCCTTGGCCTTAGGAGGGGACTCCTACTGGGGATGCCCATCCTGGGGCCCGCCCTGGACCACATGTGCCCTGCCTGGGAGGATCCTCAGGGTCGGCTGGAGCTGAGGTCTCAGTCTGTTCCAAGAGGGATGTTTTATCTCAGAACCTTGGCAAGGCCTCCCGGAGGATGTTAAGAGGCAGCCAAACACAATGGGCCAGTAATTACACTCTTTAAAGTCAGTTAATGAGGCCTTTTGTGTTATATAATGATATTAACTCTTAATTGACCTGATGGGCTTGGCTGAGAGGCACGTCTGTTCTTTTCTCACCTGGTATGTTGCCGGAATCCTTGCTGGGAGGTACAGCTGCTTGGGTTCCCTTCCTAGCACTTGGGCCCAAGAAGCCCCTACAGAGTTTGGGGCCTTGAGAAGGGGGGAGCCCCCTGGAAATGCGGCAAGGATCTTCCTGGAGATTCTTGCCTCCCATTTCCATCCTCTGGGGCACCCAGTTGAGCCCGGGAGCTTAGCAAATAGTAAGCACTTTTAATAAATGCTTGTTGACTGACCTATACCTATGCGCCCCAACGCATAAATAAATAAATAATAAAATAATAAAATAAATAAATAAATGAATGAATGAATGAATGAATGAATGAATGAAATGAATGAGAAATAATCTTAGCCATCACTGAAAAACACAATACTTTAGCCTCAATTTCTCTGCTATCCAGGCTGACCCAAAGACCTGGGGTGAAAATGGTTTTGATTCTCCCTTAAGAAGCCATCGTGTGGCAGCCCTCCTGGGGCAGCACAATGGGGTGCCTCCCTCCCAAGGGCAGACTTGCCAGAAACGACAACCACACCCACAATGAACTCTTATTAAGAGGTAGAAGCCTCTCACTGCTGGAAGGAGGAACCTCTACCTGCCAGCAGCTACCTGAATCTTCTCTAGTAATAATAATAATAATAATAATAATAATAATAATAGCACTTTAAAGTTGGCTCATTTATCCTCCCACAAACCCTGGGAGGTAGGTGCTATTATCATTCCCATTTTACAGATGAGTAAACTGACACAGACAAAGGTTAAGTAACTTGCTCGGGATCCCATAGGTAGTGTCTGAGGCTGGATTTGAATTCTGGTCTTCCCCACTCCAGGTTTGGGGCTCTATTCACTGCACCACCTTGCCTTCTAAAGCCTTCCTGAAAAGCAGACAATAGAATGACAAATCCTTGAGGGCAAAGATTGTTTCATATTTTGTCTTTGTTTTCCAGTCTAATAGGATGCCTGGCACAGGGTAGGTCTTGGTAAAATGCTTGAATTGAAAGGACTGGAAATTGAAAGCCTACACTTGAGTACCTCCAGGGACAGAGAACTCACTCCTTTGTAAAAGGCACCTCATTCCAGTTTGGGGCACCTGTAGTATCAGGAGGTTGTTCATCTATATTAAGTTAGAATCTTCCTGCCACAGGATCATTGACTTAGATCTGGAAGCAAACTTAGAAGCCACTGAATCCATCTCCCTCACTTTACAAATAAGGAAACCAAGGCACAGAGAGGTTAAGTAAGCCACCCAGGGTCACACAGCTAGGGAGTGTCTGAGGTGGAATTTGAATGCAAATCTTCCTTGACTCTAAGGCCCTACCTCTCCCCTACACTATTTGGCCTCATAACTAGAACTCAATGCTTCCATCTCTGCCCTCAGAGTCCCAGAAGAACAAACTTCTTTTGCTATTGCACAGACCTTCAGATACCTACTTCATCTGCCTTGGGCCCCCACATTCTCTTTTTGCCAGGTTACCCATCTGCAGCTAACACAAGCAACCCTATGGCATGGCAGCCATTGCTCTCCCTGGCATGGTTGCCTTCCTCTAGACATGCATGCTGTAGCATGCCCATGAATATGGTACCCAGAATGGACCACAATACAGTACATGTGACCTGACCTGCGCAAGGGGCAATCCACTCCTCACTGTGGCCCTGGCTCACTCTCTTCTCTGTCTCATCTCTCTATTTCTCTCACTCACTCTCTTTCTCTTTCTTTCTCTGTCTCTATGTCTCTCTGTCTCCTCTCTCTCTCTGTTCTCTGTCTCTCTCTATCTCTCTGTCTCATCTCTCTATTCTCTCTCTCTCTCTCTCTCTCTCTCTCTCTCTCTCTCTCTCTCTGTCTCTCTGTCTGTCTCCTCTCTCTCTCTGTCTCTCTCCTCTCTCTCTGTTCTCTGTCTCTCTCTTATCTGTCTTTCTCTGTGTGCCTGTCTCTGTCTCTTTCTCTCTCTCTTCTCTGGCTCTCTCTGTCTCTCTGTCTCTCTTATCTGTCTTTCTCTGTGTGCCTGTCTCTGTCTCTGTCTCTTCTCTGGCTCTCACTCTTTCTCTTTCTCTCTCTCTGTTCTCCATCTGTCTCTGTCTGTCTCTCATCTGTCTCTCTGTGTGTGCCTGTCTCTGTCTCTGTCTCTGTCTCTCTCTCTTCTCTGTCTCTGTCTCTCTCCTCTCTCTCTGTTCTCTGTCTCTCTCTATCTCTCTGTCTGTCTCTCTCTTATCTGTCTCTCTCTGTGTGCCTGTCTCTGTCTCTGTCTCTCTCTCTCTGTCTCTCTCTCTCTCTCTGTCTGTCTCTCTGTCTGTCTCCTCTCTCTCTCTGTCTCTCTCCTCTCTGTTCTCTGTCTCTCTCTTATCTGTCTTTCTCTGTGTGCCTGTCTCTGTCTCTTTCTCTCTCTCTTCTCTGGCTCTCTCTGTCTCTCTGTCTCTCTTATCTGTCTTTCTCTGTGTGCCTGTCTCTGTCTCTTTCTCTCTCTCTTCTCTGGCTCTCTCTGTCTCTCTTATCTGTCTTTCTCTGTGTGCCTGTCTCTGTCTCTTCTCTGGCTCTCACTCTTTCTCTTTCTCTCTCTCTGTTCTCCATCTGTCTCTGTCTGTCTCTCATCTGTCTCTCTCTGTGTGCCTGTCTCTGTCTCTGTCTCTGTCTCTCTCTCTCTTCTCTGTCTCTGTCTCTCTGTCTCTCTCCTCTCTCTCTGTTCTCTGTCTCTCTCTATCTCTTTGTCTGTCTCTCTCTTATCTGTCTCTCTCTGTGTGCCTGTCTCTGTCTCTGTCTCTCTCTCTCTGTATCTCTCTCTCTCTCTCTCTCTCTCTCTCTCTCTCTCTCTCTCACTCTCTCTCTCTTTTCTCTGGCTCTCTCTCTCTCTCTTCTCTGGCTCTCTGCTACGTCTCTCACTCTTTCTCTTTCTCTGTTCTCCGTCTCTGTCTGTCTCTCTTTCTCTCTGTTCTCTGGCTCTCTCTATCTCTCTGTCTCTTATCTGTCTCTCTCTGTGTGCCTGTCTCTGTCTCACTCTTCTCTGTCTCTCTCTCTGTCTCTCTCCTCTCTCTCTGTTCTCTGTCTCTATCTCTCTGTCTCATCTCTCTATTTCTCTCACTCACTCTCTCTCTCTGTCTCTCTCTCTCTTATCTGTCTCTGTGTGCCTGTCTGTGTGTGTGTCTCTCTCTCCTCTCTCTCTCCTCTCTCTCTGTTCTCTGTCTCTATCTCTCTGTCTCATCTCTCTATTTCTCTCACTCACTCTCTCTCTCTGTCTCTCTCTCTCTTATCTGTCTCTGTGTGCCTGTCTGTGTGTGTGTCTCTCTCTCTGTCTCTCTCCTCTCTCTCTGTTCTCTGTCTCTCTGTCTCTCTCTGTCTCTCTGTCTCTCTCTGTCTCTCTGTCTCTCTCTCTCTCTCTCTCTCTCTCTCTCTCTCTCTCTTTTCTCTGGCTCCTCTCTCTCTTCTCTGGCTCTCTGCTACGTCTCTCACTCTTTCTCTTTCTCTCTGTTCTCCATCTCTCTCTGTCTCTCTCTCATCAGTCTCTCTCTGTGTGCCTGTCTCTGTCTCTTTTCTCTGGCTCTCTCTGGCTCTCCCCCCTCTCTCTGTTCTCTGTCTCTCTCTATCTCTCTGTCTCTCTCTCTGTTCTCTGTCTCTCTCTGTGTGCCTGTCTCTGTCTCTCTCTCTCTTCTCTGGCTCTCTCTCTGTCTCTCTCTCTTCTATGTCTCTCACTCTTTCTCTTTCTCTGTTCTCCGTCTCTGTCTGTCTCTCTCTCTCTGTCTCTCTCCTTTCTCTCTGTTCTCTGTCTCCATCTCTCTGTCTGTCTGTCTCTCTGTTCTCTGTCTCTCTCTGTGTGCCTGTCTCTGGCTCTCTCTCTCTCTTCTCTGGCTCTCTCTCTCTCTCTCTTCTCTGGCTCTCTTCTATGTCTCTCACTCTTTCTCTTTCTCTCTCTCTGTTCTCCGTCTCTGTCTGTCTCTCTCTCTCTCTCTCCTCTCTCTCTGTTCTCTGTCTCTCTCTATCTCTCTGTCTGTCTCTCTCTTGTCTGTCTCTCTCTGTGTGCCTGTCTCTGTCTCTGTCTCTCTCTCTTCTCTGGCTCTCTCTCTGGCTCTCTTCTGTGTCTCTCACTCTTTCTCTTTCTCTCTCTCCATTCTCCATCTCTGTCTCTCTCTCTCTCATCTGTCTTTCTCTGTGTGCCTGTCTCTGTCTCTCTCTCTTCTCTGTCTCTGTCTCTGTGTCTGTCTTTGGTGCTCTCTCCTCTCTCTCACTCTTTCTCTTTTTCTGTCTCTGTCTCACTTTCTCTTATCTGTCCCTCTCTATGTGCCTATCTCTGTCTCTCTTCTCTTTCTCTCTCTCTCTTTCTCTCTCTCTTCTCTGGCTCTCTCTCTCTCTCTCTCTCTCTCTCTCTCTCCTCTCTCTCTTCTCTGGCTCTCTTCTATGTCTCTCACTCTTTCTCTTTCTCTCTCTCTGTTCTCCATCTCTGTCTGTCTCTCTTTCTCTCTCTCTCTCTCCTCTCTCTCTGTTCTCTGTCTCTCTCTATCTCTCTGTCTGTCTCTCTCTTGTCTGTCTCTCTCTGTGTGCCTATCTCTGTCTCTGTCTCTCTCTCTTCTCTGGCTCTCTCTCCGGCTCTCTCTCTCTTCTCTGGCTCTCTTCTGTGTCTCTCACTCTTTCTCTTTCTCTCTCTCCGTTCTCCATCTCTGTCTGTCTGTCTCTCTCATCTGTCTTTCTCTGTGTACCTGTCTCTGTCTTTCTCTCTCTCTTCTCTGTCTCTGTGTCTGTCTTTGGCGCTCTCTCTCTTCTCTCTCTCACTCTTTCTCTTTTTCTGTCTCTGTCTCACTTTCTCTTATCTGTCTCTCTCTGTGTGCCTGTCTCTCTTCTCTTTCTCTCTCTCTCTCTCTCTCTCTCTCTCCTCTCTCTCTCTCTCTCTCTCTCTCTCTCTCTCTCTCTTTCTCTCTCTCTTCTCTGTCTCTCTCTATGTCTTTCTCTGCCTGTCTGTCTCTCTCCTCTCTGTTTCTGTCTCTGTCTCTCTCTGTGTCTCTTTCTCTGTGTGTCTTGCTCCGTCTCTGGCTCTCTATCTCTCTGCCTTTTCTGTCTCTGTGTCTGTCTCTCCACATCTGTCTCTGTCTGTGTCTCTCTGTCTCTGTCTCTCTCCATTATGCTTCATTATGTTCATACAACCTAAGAGAGAGTTCATGGTTTTTGGCAGCTGCATCTCTTTTGACTCACATTGTGCTAACAATCAGTCCCCTAAAGCCCACTGAGTATTTTCCACACACTGCTGTCTAGCCATGGGCACCATCATCTTAGATTTTGCTCTGGGGACATTCTGTTCATCCCGAGAGCAATGTCAGACTGGCCAGCTTTCCTTGCTTTGTATCATGGCCCCGGCCTCCTTGGAGTGAAGTAACCACAGGTCTCTGTGGTTACCAACTTCCATAGGAGGCTTGTAAGGAACCCCCAACCAAAGCCAGAAGGAGAGGGTCCCGCCCAACCGCCCAACATAGGCCCAGAGGTGCCAGGCTCTGGCAAAATGCCTGCTGAGCCAGACATGCTCATGCCAAATTTCTTTGGGTTTGTTTCCTGCAAAAGCAGCAAAGGCACAAAAATGGTAGAAGCTTTTGGGGCCCCTGATACCTTATCTATCCTGCTCTAGAAGCCAGGAGAGTCAGCCCATATCTCCTGGGAAAGTGCATGTCCTGATGTAATGCTGACTAGAGCCCAGATGTGCTAACACACCTTGAAAAACAGCTCCCCCCTTCAATATCTTTCAGCCCCCAGGACATACATGCCTTTTCCAGAGGAACCCTTATGATCAAATGAGATATTTGTAAAGCAATTAACACGGTGCCTGGCAAATACTAGGCGCTTAATAAATGCTTATTTCCTCCTTCCCTCTCCTTATTTATCATTCAGAGGATGCACTTGTAGACCCACGGAATGGGAGGGACCTTAGAACCCAGTAGAAGGTGAGGGCCAGGGGGATTCTAGGACTAGTAGGCTGGCGGCGTGAGGAAGGTCTTGGAGGCTTCTAATTATCTGCCAGGGACTAAATCTGGCCCTTCGCTCTCTGTGCTGCCTGACCCAGTTCCCCCCTTCTTTCTCCAGGTCATCGCCTTTATGCTCCTGGGCCTGATGTGCGTGATGATCCCTCTGTGCAAGGGATTTGGCGGCCTCATCGTTGTCTGCCTCTTCCTTGGCCTGTGTGACGGCTTCTTCACCACCATCATGGCGCCTGTTGCCTTTGAACTCGTCGGGCCCATGCAGGCGTCTCAGGCCATTGGCTACCTCCTAGGCATGATGGCACTGCCCATGACCGCTGGGCCCCCCATAGCAGGTGAGGCTGCCCACCCAGACAGGGTATTTGTGCCCATCTGAACACCCCTGCCTAGGACCCGTTGCCGTTTCTTAATTCACCATATGCTCTTAGCCATGCTGGCACATGCTGGGGAAGCCCTTAGCAATTCTGCCATCTCAAGCTAAATCATATTAGAATTCCAAGAAGCCAGGTAGCAGGGCACATCCAAAGCCTGTTCATCTAAAGTCCTCTTCCAATACCTCAGCCCAACCCAAGGGTGACCCTGGGATCTCCCAGACTGTGCCAGGAGAGCCCAAGGCCCATCCACTCCTCTCCAGCAGGGGAGGCGGCCAGCCTAGGCCCGGACTCTAGGTGATGCATGGCAGAATCGGTCTGATGAAGTACCAGGGACCACATGTTTGGGGTTCATTCCAGCTCCTTCAGTCTTCTGAGGCAGGGCCACCTTGGGACCTGCACTGGCAGATGGAGCTAGGGAGCCCTCACCCACATGAAGGACTGAATGTAGGACCCCAAGGAAGCCTGGGGTTAGATTTAACTATTGGGGAGACAGGGTGGAGAGGAAATCTGGTTATTCAATACAAAAGACTGACTAGCAGAAGGGGGTGGGGTTGGGGGGAGAAAGGTAGAACCTGGTTGTATTTACTAATTACCCAACAGACAGGCAGCCAGAGAGGAAACATGGCTAGGTAGGCTTAAATAGCAGCCTCCTCTCAAGCCTGCCTCTGATGCCAGCTCCTGCCAGGCTGGAATGACTGCCCAGCCACGAAATGCCGACCCAGCAGAACCATACCCAGTGATTTTAGCACTTGGGGCAAGCAGCAGAAACCACAGCCTCAGTTCCAGGGTGGGAGAGGTAGAGGAAGAGATTCTGGAGCAGGAAGAGGTGGCTGCTGATGCAGCCACTGAGAGCATCACTGGGGACAGAGCAAAGCGGGGTGAGGTGGGTCTGGACAAGCAATTCAACAGGGGTACCGTGGTGGTTTGTGGTGAGGAGGGAGGAAGCTGGTCTCTAGCAGCTTCCTGTTTCAGCTCTTCTTTCTAACTATATGCTAAGCTGAGCTGCTGCTACACTGCTGAATGATTGAAAGTGCTACCAGTGCAGTCCCTCTAAATATTGACACCCTGGTGCAAGGTTCTGTTCACCCCACCCTAGGTGCATCTCCGTTTGCAGTACTTTTGGCCATATTGACCAAGGTGTAGATGGGTTAGGACATGCATGGGTAGAGGGTATGCCCACCCAGATGAAATCACAGAGCCTTTACATATTGAAGTATCTTCTGAGGCTCTTTCCAGGCCTCAGGTGTGTGGGGGGGAAAGGAGGAGGGAATGCAACTAAGTGGCCTTCTGGACCAGTACAAGCCTGATATCCGCTGATTTCATTATGGGTGTGTGGCCATGTACATAGCTAACCTAGAGAGATGTGGGGCAGCCACAGCCTTGGGGTTATTGAGGCACAGTGGCAACCTCCTGGTCCTTTGGACAGGGCTTGTGAATCAGCCTTACCAGGGGCAGGCCGTGAGCCAGGGCTAATACAGGCGATCTCTTGAGTGGCATTAGGAAAAGGGGTGTATCTGTGTCTCAGAATCTCCCTAGGACCATCCCCAGTATCCAAAGGAGCATTGCTGTTGTCCTAGGGTGAGTAGCATGGAAAATCCTGCAGTGGAAAATACCCTGGCAGGAGTGAAAAACAGGATACCTTAAAATCCCCCAGCAGAGTGTCAGATATCAGGGCCTGAGTCGACCCTAGGGGCTGTCTTGTCCAGGTGTCTCACTGTCCTCAGACATAGAAGCAGAGCCCATTCCAAGGATCTTAGGACATGGCATGTCCAAACTGGGAGGGCCCTTAGGATCCAGGTGGGTAAAGGTGTCAGGGATATGGTCATTTAGACCAATATCCCTATTTTAGAGGAAGAACTTGGGGGCCAGAGAGGGAAAAGGATTTTCCCAAGGAAAGGTCCCAGTCAAGACTTGAATGCAGACTTTCTAACTACCAAGTCCCAAAACAGACTGTCTGAGCTGGGAGGGATCTTAGAACAGAGTGCAGAGACTGTCCGAGCCAGCAAGGATGCTATCACATAGAGAGATAGTATGGGGTAGTGGATAGCGCTCTCGACTTGGAGAGCCCAAGTCTTCCTAGCTGATTTTACTCCTTCCACTGTTACCCCTTGAGAGCTTTCACTTTAAAAGGGGGCCTAGGGTTAATACAGATGGTCTCTTGAATGGTATCAGGAAAGAGTGTAGGCCCTGAGAGGCAACAAGAAGCCGCGATCGAGTTTCTTGTGCCCCACAGGCTCTGCTGTGGCCGTCCTGTCTAATCTGGCTCTACTGGGTCATTGCCTCTCTCCTAAGGAAGAAAGGAGGCGAGCACTTATTAAGTGCCTACTATGGGCCAGCCACTGTGCTAAGCACTTTCCAAATAGTATCTCAGATGATGCTAACAACAACCCTGCAAGGGGATGCTGATTTAATCCCCATTTTACAGTTGAGAAACAAAGTTAAGTGATTTGCCCAGGGCCGCACAGCTAGGAAGTGCAGGCAGTGAGATTTGAACCCCAGTCCAGTTCCAAGAGTCAAGAAAGGGAAGATCAGCTCTTTGTTCCCTGGAAGCCCAAGGCCACAGCCTCATCCCATCGCAATCAATTCCACTGCAAACTGGAGCTGGGCACCAACACCCAGTCTCTCTCTAGGAAAGAGTTTCCCCTTTTCCAGTTCCTTTTCATCTGGAGTGATTGACATGAGCTTTTCTAGGCAGTTCTGTCTCCACTCTGGGTCTCACGTTCATCATTTTCAGATGAGGAACTGGAGACACAAGAGAAAGATTGAGTGACCTGCCCAGGGTCACATAGTCTGCAGTGGGATTTGAACCCAGGTCTTCCTGACACCAAGTACAAAGCCCTAAACATTATACTACACTGCTCCTTTCCAAGACCCTTTCTACTCTGACAATCTATGCTCTGTGTTCTGGAGTTGCACTCAGTTCTGACATTTCCTTGTTTTGAGGCTCCTGCCAGCTCTGACATTCCCTGTTTCAGGATCCCTCCTGGCTCTGACAGTCTGCATTCTCTAAGTCCTATGTGCTTCTAAGTCAGATTTCTTGCCAAGGCCCTGTTCACGTGGAATCTGAACAAGTAACACGGTCCCTGGGGGGAGGAGACAGAGGGGCTCTTTGGGTACCTGGGAGGCATAAAGCCAGATCTCTGTTGGATTTTGCAGGGCTCCTCCACAACTGTTTTGAGAACTACCACGTGGCCTTCTACTTTGCCGGTGTGCCCCCCATGATTGGGGGCATAATCCTCTTCTTTGTCCCACTGTTCCACCGGAAAATGCCCAATAAGCAGGAGAGGGACTCCAGCAAGGACAAGATGCTGGCCTCGGACACCATCATGAACGGAGAGCTGCTGCCCGGGGTCCCTGCCACAGAGGCTCACATCTAACAGCCTGTCCCCCCCCCCGCCCCCGTGCCTGCCTCCCCCTGGCATTCACCCTCTGGCCTCCAGCACCTCTCCTTCAACCCCGCCCCGGCATTTCCTGCACCCCCTCGGGTGCTCTGTGTTCATTAGCCAAGTCCTTGTACCTTTCCAGTGCCATGAGATGGAAAGCATCTATGGTGGCTTTTCTTTTGCCTTTTGGATTTTCTCATCTCCCAGTGAGGTTGGATAGGTATGTTAACATCCTGGCCCCAGCTTGGAGGCCACCAGTGGAAACCAGCTTCTAGGAGTGGTCCCTCTGGTCCCAGGAGCCTTTGGGGGCAGATCCAGGCCCCCGAGTGCTGACAAGTTAGTCACCCACATGGTCCATCTATCTTTGGGAGTGGGGGGGAAGGAACAAATTCAGATGCCATTGAATGCCAGAGTATCTCACGACTCTTGAGTTATACCTCTCCTCAAGCTGTTGGGAGCCCCTCACTAGTGGCTCTGAGCACACCAGTGGGAGGCTTTGATGGTTGGCCATCCATCCCCTTTCCCTTGGAGGCAGTTGCTTCTTTCTTCTCCTGTCACTCCGCTTCTTCCCTCCCTTCTTCCCTCTGTTTCTTCTCGTTACAGGGTGCTGGGACAGAGGAGTGATCCAGCCCACTAAGAAGCCTCTATTAAGTGCCAGGAACTGTTCTAGGTGCTAGGCCATGCCCTTCCAAATATGGGGTGCTCCATCCCGTCCAGCACCACGTCCACTCAGTGACATACATGGCTCTGTGTGGACCAAGGTCAGTCACAATAGAGGCTGATCCCTTCACGAGGGGGCATTGGACTTTCTTGTTCTAAATCTTTGAATTCCACAAACCACATTTTCCTGGGGTGAGGATGGCACAGGTAGAGTTTCTACTCTTTGACTATTGATCCTCATGGATCTTCTGGATGCCAGGGTCTGAGCTGGGTAGGGAGGAGAGGGCTGTCCTCCAGGAACACCTCCTCTGCCTCGCATCTCAAGCACAGCAATCCTTGGGCCCATTGGGAGCTCCGTCACCCGCTGCCACCAGGGAGCTCAGCAAGTGGAGGGAGCCCGGCTGTTCCAAACCTTTTAACATTGGCCTGCATGGGGCCTCTGCTGTCCTCATTCAGAAACCTCTGGCCAATGCTGTGGTCATCACTCCCTTCATCCCTAGGCTGGACCCCTTCCATAAACATATAGCAGAGGGAAATCCATAGTTAATTCAGACCATTACCAAGGAGACAATTGACCTTCTCTGATCTAAACTGACCTCAGAAACTTTGCCCCAGGTCCTCATGCCTCCCTCCTCTAGTTACTACAAGAAGCCCTGTGTACATAACTTTTTGCTCACAGCTGAGTCCTGTACCACTCCATTAAGAATACAGAATCCAAGCCCCTGGTTGGTCGTCAACTAATCTAACCTTGGTCAAGTCCCTTCCCCTCTCTGAGGCTCAATTTCCTCTTGTAAAAGTATTTTTCAGCTCTGTCTAAGAACCTATCTCTGACTCTGCAATGACAGGTCAGCATTATGGGGAAAGGGCTGCCCCTGCACCCCGTCCCAGAGCTGTACCCCAGCCACCTGTAGGGAATGTCTGGAACTAAAGGAGGTGGCTGGGAGGGTTTCATAAGACAATGGAGAACCATCCTTTCTTCCTGCCGCTTGACTAGTTCAGGGGCAAATTCATTTGCCTCCATCCTGACCCCACCACCACACTGGAGCTCTCTGGGTGCCTCTGTTTAGGAGGTGGAAGGAGGGAACTGGCATTTCCCCAGCAGCAAGGGGCACCCAGGCGAGAGTCTGACCCTAGCTAATGCAGGCACAAAAGCTGCCAGGAACAGACAGCCCTGGCCTCGGCCTCTCTCTGTGAAGCAGACTGTGAAGCAGATGCCAGCTTCTTGCCCCTGCCCAGGCCCTGGGCAGCAGTCCTGCTGAATACCGCCCCAAATGCCCCTGGGCTGAGAACAAAGGGAACCATCAGGACCACTTGAAGACTTGCTCATTAGGCTTGGAACAGCCACACTAGGGCCCCTTCCCGGCCTCTCTCCACTTGGGCCTCTGGCCTCTGGCTTTGTGTCTTAATGTGTGCATCTCTGCCTCCCTACACTGGCTGGTGCTCTGGGGCATCATTAGTGTGGCAGTGAATGAGGGCCCCTGGGGCCTTTGCCTCTTCTGCCCTCTGGGCCATGAGGGCAGGGAAGGGCCTTGAGGGCCCCTACAGATTTCCTTCTGGACCGTGGCTTGTCTGAAACAAAACCACTCAACCAAACATGGGAAAGAGACAATCCCACACTGAGGTGGTTTTCCAAACCACGAAGTTTTACTTTACAAACTGGCAGCCAGGAGGGCCTTGGCCAGGACAAGGGTTGGCGCCTACCTTCTTCCCAGTCCAGGGCCCTCAGCCCCTTTGGCTAGGTACCCCCCCTCCCCGTCTCCCCGCCCCTTTTCCAGCAGCCTGGTATCATGGAAAGAACACTGGATTTGGAGTCCAAAAAGCTGCCTTTGAATCCCAGCTCTGTCACTGTGTGACCTTCAGAGAGTCTCTTCCCCTCTTCTAGGCCTCAGTGTCCTCACCTTTAAAATGAGAGGGTTGAATTAGATGATCTCTAAGGGCCCAAAATCCTATAATCTGTAGCAACGGAGACATTCCAGGCCTAAGACCTGTTAAGCCTTGCTGAACTAGAAGGGTGGGCAGGGGAGGAATGAGAAAACATGGGGTTTTGTTTTGAATGCTTGGAGACTTCCTGCCTCCCAAGGGCCTTCTGGTTCTGCCTGGCAAGAAGGCAGGCTTCCTGATACCCGTAACACCTAGGAACTTACCAGTGATGGCTGCTGGTAACTTAAGAGCAGCTCTCTGGCCACCCCTAGGCCCAGATTCATCACTGAGAGCAGTCTCATTCTATACCTGTCTCACCCTGACCCCTTCCTCCACAAAGAGGGCTGGCCCCCTTGGCCTTCCTGCTGGCCCAATGGCGGCCCTGCTGACTGATGGGAAACATAGACCTTGGTCAGTTTCTCCTGTTGCAGGTGGTTGTCTAATGTCTCCTTCCTGTCTAGATGAATGACAGAAGAGCGGAGCCTCCCTCCCTTGCATCAGTCAAGACCACATCATGAAAGGTGTCTCTGCTTCCCAAATGTGTGTGTGTGTGCGGCCTGGGTCTTTTGGGAAAGTTGGCCACGGGAACATAATATTAATTTTGAGTCTAGTAAGTGGCCAGGATCTTACATAAAGGCTGGGCCACAAGCAGCAGGACAGGTTAGAAACCATGAGGGCAGTGGAGGGTTAGGGGAAACTCCTAAAATGGTCCTTTCGAGTCTTCCCCAGCAGAAAGTCGAAGCAGACCTGGCTGCCTGCTGCTCAGGGCCATGGACATTGAAAGCCTGGAGGAGCTTGGGACAAATAAACAAATGTGCAAACTTTGTCTTGGTATGTGCACTGGCTCCCAGGGTGCAACAGGCTTGACCCTGTGAACGGCAGGAAGCTTGGCTTTGCAACCGAGGAGGCCACAGTCTTGTTTGAAATCCCCAAATCCGTGTTCTCTGCCAGAGGGGAAATTGGAAATGAAGCTGTTACAGGGGGCTGGGTTGGGCTGCTTTCGATTGGATTCCTTCTTCTCAGCTCAAATGGAAAAAGTGGTTCCTTTCAAAAATGGAAACTCTGAGGGCAGCTATAATAGCGTCATTCCTCTGTCCAGGTAGCAGCACAAGGGGCCATGGGGTGTTAAGGAGGGCCCTCTCTCTTCCTGTCTGGTGTTGGGATTGGTCAATAGTGAGAGTGGGCCTGAATCCTGGTGCAACCATGACTGAGCCTTAATGCTGGGTGCCCTCAGATGACCATTACTGGGAAAGCCCTGGAAAGGGCTCTATAGGCCTAGAAACAAGGTCCACCTTCAGTTCAGTTAAGAACTTTTTTTAACTTAAAAAACATTTTTTTTCAACTAACAAGCATTTATTTTCTCTTCTACCTCCCCCTACCCTCATTGAAAGTTGTTAAGGATCAACTATATTGCCCTCTCCAAGGGGGATCAGAGGATATAGGGAGAGGATGATGTTTAAGGAATGATTTGCCAATGGTGGAATTTTAGGTGCTCGGAGGGAGTAACATGGGGGCTGTAGGCTTTGCAACAACCCGTAAATCATACCTTGCATATGATAGCGCAGGACAGGGAGTCAGGAGACCTGGGTTTGAATCCCAGCCCTGCCAATTACTGGTTGTATCACTCTGGGCAAGTCCCCTCTGGGCCTCAGTTTCCTCATCTGCAAGATGGCCACTAAGGTCTGCTTCAGTGCTGACATTTAATTTATGCTCCCCTAAATGAAAGATGCCAAGCTGGGTATCAGTTTCTTTAAGCTCTGAAAGAGGGAGTCTTGGATGGGATGGAGAAATCACCACTGCTGTACTCCTCCTCCCCCCCATCCCCACCTCTAAACAGCACAAAGAAGACCGATGAGGGTTTATTGAAGGCAGGAGACAGATGCTGAGAAAAAAGCAAAGCCTTGGGAGGTTTTTCCAATTCGTTCTTCCTGCAGGGCAATGTGGTTTCTTGTCTGACCCTGGTGCCAGACTAATTCTGCCCTCCACCCCCTAGCTCTGCCTGCTGGGGCTCATTACTCAGCTACCACCCAAGGTCACAGGCTGCTCCCTGGCCTTCCCCCAATCCCAAGCACTCACCTGCACCCCCACCTTAGCCCTCCACAAGCCCCCAGGCCTCAGCCCGTGTTTGATCACCCCAAATCATTAGATTGCAAAGCTAGCGAATCCCAGAATTTTTATGAGCATTTTCTCTCCTCCCTTTCATCTCTGGGAAGGCATCAGACCTGCCTCCCTCACACAGTAGCCTCAGTTGCTGGCTTCATCAAGAGCTGTAAGAAAGGTGCCGGCACTCAAGGGGTTAAACAATGCCCTTGGGTTGAGGCTTGGCATCTTAGAAGATCTCTTCTGACTGGTGGGCATCCCTGGGAGGGGGGAACAGAGACGGGCCCAGGACAGCTGTAGTACAGGAGATCAGAGGGACCTTTCAACAGTCAGAACTGAGGCTAGACAGAGGCTCTGAGCCTGAGCCCGGATTCTTCTGGCCAGGGCTGACGTCTACATGTCTTGGCCCAGAGCAGGCCCAAGATCACTTCCAAGCTTGCCTGCCCTCGGTCTTGTGCTCACCTTAGCCTCTGGAATTACCCCTGGGCCTCACCGTTCCACTGGCTTCACAGTCTGGCCTAGTCCTGTCTGGTCCACCATCTCCCAAAGCAGGTTGGCTTCTTATGAGGCCCCAGGGTTCCTTCCCTCCTTCAGGCTTTTCCTCCAGCAGCTAGCTGCACCCCAGCAAAGCCTGGCAGAAAGATTCCAGTGGTCCTAGGATTCCCTCTGCCTCTCACCCGACCTGAGGCTGTTGGGCTGGCCCCACTCAGAGGGCCACTAGGGCCCCCTGCTTGGCTCCCCTAGATGCGCCAGCCCTGCCTCCGCTCCAGGAAGGGCCAGGGCACAGCCTTCCCATCAACGTCCCTCCTGGGCTCTTTGTCCTGGGTCATCTCCACTTCTGAGAGCTAGTTGACCTCCATACAAGTGGGACGAGCAGGAGGGAGCTCTGGGCAACACTGAGGCAAGGTCTGCCCCATGTGATATCTCACCTGGCCTTCCTGGAAACAGAGTTGTGTAATCCACATGTATTTTCCTCTTCTTCAATTCACTGTTACAATTTGCTGAGCTTTTCTGATGTTGTTCGCAAAACCCAGCTGCTCATAACCTGGCCCTCTTCCTCAGCCAAGAGCCACCCTTCAGAAGATTCTGAGATTATATTCTACACCTCTCAAGTATTGTATTAAAAGGTGACAATCCTTCTCCTGGTGCTCTGAACTTTGTGGGATGTGGGATGGGTGACCATGGCGGGCCAGTGAGCTGCCTCAAGCAACCGAGAGTAGGGAGGTCCCAAGTGCAAATCAGTACAATCTTCCCCCTGTGGTATAATTCCAGGGTCCTGGGGACCATCGCCCAGAAGAACAGGCTGGGATGGTGGCAACTATATGAGGGATACCCTACCCACCATGAGGGTGGCAGAGGGACATAGGCAACATCTGTCCCCTTCTTACAGCTGTTTATATGTGCTTAGCCACAAGTTACCTGAGCCTAAGAGGAGTGGGCAGGGAGGCTGGGGCCCAAGCCTCAAGGGGATTTTAGCAGGGTAGGGTTTCAATTCGTTGTCTGGGCAGGTCATAGCCCCCCCACCCCCACCCCACCCAGCTAGACAACAGCTGCTAGGACAACCATGAGAAAGCCTGTCAGACAGCAGATGCTGGGCAAGGCCTCCTCTCCTCCTTACTAGGGCCAGAGGATTCTGAGCTGGAAAGGGCCAATTTCCCACCCCACTCCCACCCTCCAACCCAGCTCATTTTATAGAAGGTTACACAGAAAGACAATGACTGAGAATCACAAGATAATAGCCTTGGTGGTCATCAAGCCCAACTCCTTCATTTTACAGATGAGGGAAACTGAGGCACACAAAGGTGAAGGGACTTGCCCAGGGTCACACAGCCGGATTTGAATTCCCATCCTCCTGTCTCCAGGCTCACTCTCT